AGTTGGTGGTATATATTGGCATTTTAACAACTCTTAATTGCAACAAAAAGAATGATTACCATCATTGCCAATAGGAAATCGCATACTCCTAGACTGCTCAATACAGAAAAACTTACCATGGGATCACTTCCGCAAGAATCGCTGGTATAAACTGATCCACTCTCATATATAATTTAAAACCATTAACCACCTCAAATGCAACACTATCTGGTCTAATGACCCCAACTGCATATTTTAGTTCATCTTCGGCACCCTGCAAGATATTACCACAGCAAATAGAATATAAACCAATGGGACAAAAGATGTACCAACTAACTAATAAATAAATAAGTAAAACAAAAACAAATAGAAGATGATACACTGCATAAGAACAGTTGGCACTTGCCAACTTTATGGCCTAAGTTTCTTGATAAAGATTTATGAAAGTATATATACAACGGAAAATGGTGCATAAACAACATTTTCCACTATGGGATTAGGCACCATGGTCTCTATTACTTGCAGAAAAGCATCAGAAAGAAGTGAATAAAACGTGAGTTCTAAAACAGAATATTAGCATAAGATAAATGAAATGATAGGATAAGAGCGGAATAGAGGAGAAAGTGTGCATGACTCAGTAACAATCATAAAATAATAATAATAATAATAATAACAACAACAACAACAACAACAACAATAATAATAATAATAATAATGTTAAATTAGTAACAAATACGGAGTAGTACAATTGGAGATGCATAATGCACAACATCCATCATTTCATAACATTAAAAGGCCTATTTGTAATATCATTCAAATGTACAATTGCATAAAGCACATTCTAAGATTGATGCAAATATATAGAAAGTCAACTTTATCTCATTCACCTTTATAATATAGATAGAGATACATACATTTCAAGAGATTGTAAGATGGAATATACCTGAAAAATGTTGACTCTGCCTCAGTAGCAACAGCCTTAGCTAAGTAGGACTTCCCTGTTCCACGAGGACTATATAAAAGAAAAGCTCTCCACGGGCGCCTCTTGCCTATAAAGAACAAAAGGTTCTCATATTGTAACTGATATAAACTAACACTGGCCCTACCTCCCCGGCCCCACGCCGGAAAACCCCCGAATACAAAAACACAATAAAATCAAAGAAAAAACAAACAAAAAAATGAAATCAGAATACCTTGACGACAACCAGAAGCATTCTTCTTTTGATGCTTTGATCGCCTAACGGAAGAGCCAGCCATGGAGACTATCACGATGCTACAGGCATAGCGTGGCACCGGAAAAACCAACGAGCTCGACAGGAACGACTGGCAAGAACTGAGCGGATAGCTATGGTGAGAGTGTCGTATGTTGAAAAGGATTTCGAGAATCAAACCCGTTGCACCTTCCGATAAAAAACCCGAAATTAAATTTGTAACGTAATAAAGAATATGGCAAATGACTCCAACACCCCTGCCTATTTACAACTCAGCGCACACAGTTAAAAAATCCAAACAAATCGGCACGTTAAAATTTCAAAATAAACGATCAGATCTAATCACACGATCTCACCTAATTAAGGTGGTCTTTAGATCATATATATATATATATATATATATATATATATATATATATATATATATATATTATTGAGGACATTATTGTAAATTGATCCATATAACCTAAAATATAACCATGGACTAAACAAGGTAATATTATATTACACCATCCAAATCAAACACACAAGGTAATCTTACATTCCCAAAATCTCACATTACCTTCAAGGAGGTAATCCTATTACCTAGGGTAATCCAAGATTCTGTGAACCAAACGCTCCCTTACAGGGCGTTTGGTTTAAGGGAATTTAAATTCCCTTCCCACCTAATTCCAAAGGCCACAAAATTCTCTTGTTTGGTTGAAAGGAATTGTAATTCCCCCATTTTCATGGAATTAAAATCTCATGTCCCCCTAAGATTTTAATTCTTGGATTTTAGGAAGAAAAAAAAAACAGTGATGAGTCAAAATTATCCCTCCCTTTTTAAACCTAAAATCAATGTCTCACAACAACAAATGGACATTTTGGACTTTATACTACTTATTCCCTTTCAATTCCCATGTATACCAAACATTGGAATTGAAATTCCAGTAATTCTATTCCTGTAAACCAAACACTAGAATTTAAATTTTCACTTTATTCCCAGTAATTTATCTCCCATGGAATTGCAATTCCTTTCCCACGTAATTCCCCATCTCCAACCAAACGCCCTGTTAATGTATAATAGCTTGTACACCACATATGAGAAGTAAACCACACTATAATGACTAGCATAAGGCTTGGGTGGTACATATGGCACCTCTTCCTCAAAATCTTCATTTTGCATAGGTTTGGTGTTTTCAAAGCTTTCATCAATAGTCTTACCATCATTAATGATTTCTATGGACTTTGCTTCTTCTGGCTGATTTGGTAACTTACCTGGCACATGCCCTTGAAAAACTTTAGCGATTTGCCCTACTCGTACTTCTAACTTTCTTATGGAAGCCTCATTTCTTGCAAGTGATCCTTCATTTCGTTAGAACCATTGTTCATTTGCTTCTTGTTGCATCTTGAATCGTTGATCATTTGCTTCTTGCTGTCTAGTGCAAGCCTATATAAAATCATTCAAGGAATCCTCCAAAGAAGGATGACTTGACTAAAAATCATTTTGATTATTACCCTAAGAAAAATTAGAGTGATATGATATTCCAAACTTGGATTATAAGAATTATAAAACGAGTCATTCACAGGCCTCTAATTAAAAACATTTATTGAATTAACATGTCCAAAATCATTATTATTTCTCTTATTTACAAAAGGATTATTTTGGATTGAACTTTAAAAAAAGCACACCTTTTTCACTTGTTTGGTTAATTCTATTATTTGAAAAGTCAAATCGGTATTGAAATTAACCTCATATATTGCAGTAAAATTAACGTTTTCAAATGTTTGTTTACTGACAAATTGAATGATTAACCATGTTAATTTTGAATTAATTAAGCAGTTTGAAAGCGAAAAAAAAAAGAGAATCTTTTTGGTCCGAAACCGCGAAGAAGTGTTGGAATCAAAGGATGGAAGGAATCATTTGAATAGGTAAGGTTTACTCAAATTAAACTTAATTATTGCAAGAGTTCAACTTATCAACGTAGTACATTTGAATAATTTGAAATATTTTCCAGAAGTCATTTTCCTATTTTCCAAACGGATATTTAGTTAAAGATTTTTTTTTTTTTTGAAAATCGACCCTTAGTAAAAGGTATGTGTGCTAGAATATTATGAAAATAAATTCGATAAACAAGCATGAAAAAATGAAAAATTCAATTTATCAACGTAGAGTCGTGTGACACTCACACTTTTTTAAAAATCTTATTTATTATATCCCAAGATGGTAGGAGCAATGTATCCTAGGTTTCTAAGGTAAAATGAACATTGGCTTAAAGTTTGAGTACTCAAACAAATAAGTCTGGCGGACAAGAACATTGGTAGAGCACAAAATTTTTGGAAAAGAGTAGAGAACATAGGTTAGTTGTTGTTCAGTGTAAAATTCCCTGCTCAATCAAGATATATATAGGAAATGATGGTTAAATAACATTTAACATGACATTAACACTAATTTGAAAATCACTATCTACCCTTTATAACAAACAATTTAATTAATTCTACAAATTAAAATTGAAATGAATTCCTTAGAATCATAATTAAAGCTTTTCAGAATGGTACATCCAAAAAGTATGCCTATAAGGTTACTCCAATAAATGAAATCAAAGTAAAATGACTTTTGAGCAACACAAACAACTTCTCGATCATACGGTTTTTAACATTCATGTACACATATTGCCGGTGCACATGACTCAAGTCCTTTATACTCGTTTTGGAATCTGATTTGCATCTCCCTAGGCGCGAGAGAGACTATCTATGTTTCACAATTCAAACTCCAGGAGATTTGTATATACTAATGCAAACCCACGCCCATTCTAACGTGGGACAAAAGTTTCTTCAAAGCCTTTTCACTTTTGATTTTCAACTCAAATAGGTTTACTTCAATAATCAATTTTTCAAATTATAGTTGTTGGATGAACTCTGGATAGTCGCTTATGATTGTGGCGATGATTTCTTCGATCAAAAAAGGATCAAACTTGAGCCTCTTCTGAACCGCCATACTGACAAGCGGCTTTATCAATGCCAAGGCATCTTCTGGAGAATGGTTTGTACTTGTGTTGAGAAATCTTACAATCATGTTTGTCACTACATCCGCCATTGTTGAATGTAGGATATGAAGAAATCCTAGGTTGAGAGAATTTTGAAATGTTTCAGGAGAGAGAGTATTTTGACAGAGCCACAGAAATCGAATTGTGGGCAATGTACCTGGGACTCAAATGGGCGTGGGAACAAGGGAAGAAGAATATCGTCGTCTTAAGTGACTCCATGCAAGTCGTCATTTGGCTTACTGAATGCACGGAGCCGTTGGGTAACTGTAAAATTCTCGTCGAATGAATCAAACAGTGATTGAGAAGGGACTGAATGATCACGATTCAACATGTACCACACGAGAGAAACAAAGTAGTTGATTGGCTTGCCAAGGAAGCACCGAGACACTACATCGAATGGATTGAGTATTAGTGTCAGTCAATATTGGCAAAGAGTATCCATTTTCTTGGCTAGCAGGGTTCCCCCAATCCCCCACCCCCACAAAAAAAAAACATTTTAATATATTAAAAATACATTATTTATATACTGAATTTACATTATATAAAATAATATACTTTTACTACTTAAACTATATATATATTTTAAATATAATTTACATTTTTAATATACTAAAAGTATATTATTTGTGTAATGAATATATATTATTTGATAGTATGATTAATGGTCCATACAAATACACAATAATGAGTATGGTTAGGGCCTTCCTCAAAACAACTGGACTATCGGAGGCCCAATGCTAGCACAAGTCAGAATATTCGCATTTTTACACCGCTCAAGGCTGAAGCGGCTAACAACCCAAGAGAAACCGATACAGGTCCACACTCCCGAGACTGAACCTTCTCTCGTATGGATTCTGCTCGAATCAAAATTATCATTTAAAACCCTCCTTCCGTCTGCCTGATCAAACTTGTGCATTTCAGTAATCTGTAAGTATTACTATATTCATCGCCATAGCTACATCTATGAGCTTTTTGTATGCTTTGTTTTTTTTCATTTTGTTTTTCAGCAGGATCGTGTTACACATTATTGCTTTACTTCTTTCGACGTATGGTTTTAGGCTTGGAATTATGAATTTATTGCGCTATACTAACATTCGAGTTTGAGGAGTGCTGTTTTGGATGCAAATGTGCAATGGCATACATTCAAATGATTGTGATAATGTTTGAATATTTTATGATGCATAGACAATTGGTGAATGTGTTTACGTTGACGACTCAGTGGTTAATCGGATGAAATAAGTTAAAGCTCTTCCTGCCAGAGTTTCACTAGGCATGGGACCTGAATATCTGATAGTGCAGCACGGGAATAAACTAAAAAAAATGTTTACTGCAAACTCTGACCCCTTTTCTATTGCTTTGTAGTGTTTAAATAACAAAATACCATCCCAACTAGGCTAGGATGAATTTGCTAAAATTTGAATGTTAGTAATACAGCTAAAAGCTAGCTCAGATACTGTAAGACACTAAACTAAAGTAAATAGTACTTTAGCAACTCTGTAACTATCAATATTAGCTATGCATGCCTTTTCCTGAGGTAGCCTGCACCAATTGTGCCCATCATGCTTATGATAAGTTTTCTGCATTGCTGGAAGAAATTTTGATTTTAAAATTTGTTAGATGCATATTTTGGCTAAATATAATACTCTGTCTGTTATTTATTTATTTATTTGAAGGTTGTTTCTATGGATTTTGATGAGTATGAATATCTGGAGAGAACAGTGGAAGATCCTGAATCTCAAAATTTGAAAGGGATAGAACAGGGAGGTGAAGACAATATTGAATCAAAAGAGACAGATGGTAAAAAGGTTTCACAGCACAAACTTTATGACAGTGACGATGAATTGGAATATCGATCTAAACATTCAAGGTCAGTGGATGTGTCTCGTGATCATAACAAGAAGAGGCGCTCAGCTCAATATTCATCTTCAACAGAAAATATTGATAAGAATAGGCACAGAAGTAACAGAGAACATGGGGACAGGGAGGGTGATAGAAAGGATAGAGATAGAAGAGCACGTGAACGTGTGCATGGAAGAGAGAAAAAGGGGGAAAGGGAACGAGAGAATTTGAATCGGAGCAGAACCTACTCAGAAAGACACAGGGACAGACGTGGCAGGGCAAGAAGTCCCGATAGGGAGATGAGTAAGGATAGGGAGTATAAAGAAAAGAATACAGGAAGTGAATTAAGAGAAAGAGATCGACAGGGAAGGTGAGGCTCATACTTCTTTTATAAGTTTTTACTTTTGTATGTGAATCATTGAAGTATAATTCACATGACTAGGAAATGGATGACAGGTTTCGTTTTTCCTTTATTAAATTTACATCTATTTCTTGCATTTTTTATTTTATGTTTCTGTACCACGTCATTGAACTCTATAGAAAACAGTATCAACTAGAGTTTTTTAATCTAGAGACTGCAGTTTAGTATTGGAAAACCTCTTTAATTGTGCCTACTATGAGTACTTTTACTAGTCTAAGCTGTTTCATTTAATTATTAGGTATAGTTAAATGAGTACATTAACTACTTCCTTGTGTTGATGCAACATGTAAGTAGGTACTCTTAGATGGGGCAAAGCTTGTTGTTAACTCAGTGCTTGAAGTTCGATATAATTGTTCAGTATTTGGTCCCTCACTTTCCATTTCTCTCTAATTGCAGTTTTCTCAGGTTGGTTCTTGTTGTTTTGAAAGGCATGCTTCTTGTTTGGCTAGGTTAATATATTGCTCCCCTAAATTTTACTTTCTAAAGTTTCCTGCAGGACTGTGTTATGGTTTTGTTCGTGGACATGTTGAAGAAATTATAGCTGCATTTTGAGCCTTTTTAAATCTTATTGGTTTTTTAAATGATTTGGCAAGTCAGTATTATGTACTTTTAGGATGTAGTGTTTTCCTTCAATAATGCTTGCTTCCTGATATAAAGGCTTTTGATATCTTTCAATTAAACTTAACAATTGTGGTACTAATTACCAAGTTACATTTTTGAGAATTTCATTCTTCCTTTTTCACAGGAGATATAGGGAGAAAAAGGAAGAAGTGTCTGAACTAGAGGTTGATCCTGAACGAGATCAACGAACAGTTTTTGCATATCAGGTGGGGCAACTAGATAACTAGTTACTTACTTTATATTATATCCCAGCTTTTCATTCGCCAGAAGCTCACTGTCTATATATGTTTTGAAATGCTAAAATTCTGACAGCTCCATTTGAAGGCAGATGAAAAAGATGTCTATGATTTTTTCTGTAAAGCTGGAAAGGTACTTATTACTTATTAGCACTCTTATGGTCTCTAGGGAGGAAACCTAAAACCTCTCTCCCATGAAAGGCTTATCATATGGATATGTAAATTGAGTTGCAAAAGCAAACATTATAATAAAAACATGAAAAAAATTGCTGATGTTTTTCTTCTAAAAATAATACCGTGTTAATGTGTATATATATGGCTTGGCTCCCCTGAAAAGTGTGGACAATTGCTAGCCATTGATCTTGTAGATCTAACGATTGGAAATTAAAGAAAAATAAGGAAAAAAGAAAAAGAAAAAATGGTGGGTCAATTTCATAAAGATTATAAACTTTCAAAGTTTCAAATATTTATGAAATTGATCCCACCCTTTTTCCCCCTTATTTTTTAGCCATTGATCATCCTAGATAGATGGCTTTAGATTAGTCCACATTTTTCACGGAAAGTATTGTTCTCATTTGATCTTGATTATATATATATATATATATATATATATATATATATATATATATATATATATATATATATATATATATATATATATATATATATATATATATATATATATATATATATATATATAGGGGCGCGTTCAGGTGAGAACAGGTGCCCAAGAGAGGAATAAGAACCAATCACAACTGTCCATCTGTCCAGATCTAACGGATCAGATGTAATTTTAAAAAAAAATGAGGTGACATTTTTGTAAATAACTCGAATTTTGGTGCAAGTAACATGTGTTAAAGTGCAAGTGTGCAAGTAAAATCACTTAAAAAGTGCAACCATTTTCACTTAATAGTGCAAGTAATTTACCTTTTCACATTGGTGCACCTAATGATAACATTATGTGCACTTAATATTGTTGCTTTTCACTTAATAGTGCAAGTAATTTACCTTTTCACATTGGTGCACCTAATGATAACATTATGTGCACATAATATTGTTGCTCGGTGTATGTTATATTGCTGCACTTGTAATACATTTTACTTGCACTTAGGTGCACTCTATGAAACTGTTACTTGCACTTTTAACACAATTTTCTTGCACTTCAAAATTCAAATTATTTACAAAAATGCCACCGCGTTTAAAAAAAAGTGTTTTTTGATCTGTTAGATCTGAATAGATGGACATCTGTCATGGGTTCTCATTCCTCTCCTGGGCATGTGGTTCTATATATATATATATATATATATATAATCATCTTCCTTGGTACATTAATGTCAGCTTCTATCTCTGAAAATTCATTTTTGCATATTACTTTTTTGAGTTAATACCAGCTGGGGCTCTCTGAATATAGTGGCTTCACCACCTTTAATCCTAAACTTTCAAGTTAACCACCCAAGGTCCTTCAACTTTCAAATTTAACCACCTATGCCCCTTCCGTTAGTTTAAGGGCAAAGTTAGGATCAATGGTAGTTAAAAATTTGAAAGTTGGGTAAGGATCATGGGTGGTTAAATTTGAAAGTTGAAGGACCACGAGTAGTTAAATTGAAAGTTTAGGACTAAACATGGCGATGCCACTATACTAAGAGAGGACCACAGCTGGTATTAACTCTTACTTTTTTACTCTTCTCTAACATTAAGGTGCCTTCTTCTATTACAATTCAGGTTAGGGATGTACGTCTAATAATGGACCGCATCACTGGGCGCTCCAAGGGTGTTGGGTGAATATTATCAATTTAACACTATCTAATGTAGATGTATTTAATTAAATAATTACATTCAGATCGGTTAAGACTATATTACTGATTTTTGAAGTAAAACACTGGTAAAATGATCTAGCTGAAGCAGAGTCAGAACTAAAATAAACAATTGCACATGATTAGTTGGTGTAAAAAGTATACTATTTAGCCTTTTGCCTATGGTTTTAGTTGTATTTTAACTTCCATACTAATGGGATGTTAGAGAACTGTGAGTGAGCATCCAAGTTACTAATTGTTTTTGTGTAAAAGATGCTGGTTTACAACATTATACTGCTTAAGTAGCTAGTTGGAGTAATGCATTATTTAAAAATTGTAGTGGAACCAATATATATATATATATATATATATATATATATATTATGCCAACCTTTTCCTTATGAACAAGTATGAGACAATTGTTTAAATGGGAAAAAAAAAGTGTGTGTGTATATATATATATGTATATATATATATATACACACACACACACTTTTTTTTTCCCATTTAAACAATTGTCTCATACTTGTTCATAAGGAAAAGGTTGGCATAAATGGCTCTCTTCTTTAGAAGAATCACTATGTACTTTATCTCAAGTTTATTAGCTTTATTAGGTGGATTTTCCAATCTACTATTAGCTAATTGTATGTTGATGATTGAAGGTTCATGCATATGCATAGTTGCATAAAACTTTATTAACTCATGTAGTACTGAAATTTAAAGTTGATAGTAATCTTTATTTGCAGTTACATTGAATTTTATGATGTCATGTCAGTCCCCATGGCAATAGCACTGTCTGGGCAGCCACTTCTTGGGCTACCAGTGATGGTTAAACCATCAGAAGCTGAGAAGAACCTTGTTCAGTCCAGTGCATCCACAACTACAGGGGAAGGTGCAGCGGGTGCTAGAAAACTATATGTTGGCAATCTGCATTTCAGTCTGAAGGAGGACCAGCTTCATCAGGTAGATATTTGCATTCATCGACATACAACACCACATGAATTGCATGCAGTAACCAGTTCTTGCTGTTCTGGACAAGTCTTTTAAACTTGCACTTAGCTTGTACAGTTGTACATGAGGACTGGTGAGTGTTCAATCCTCTGTGTGTCATGAAGCCCGTTAAATTTAACGGCTATCATACCCATGATGATGAAGGCTATGGCTGTGTCTTTACTATAAAGTAGCTTGGTTGGAAAGAGGGATGACATGACCAATCAACTTGGGCATCACTAAGCAATCTATACCTTTGCGTAGCCAATTTCAATCTCTGTAGTTCATTCTTATAATGAAACCATCCTCCTCAATTAGGTTTTCTCCTTTATTCACAGGGTTTCTGATGTAAAATCGTTGCACCATTTACTTTTTGTTCCCAGTTTGCCATTGCTTTCTCTACCAATACTTAATTAGTTGGTCTGGGTTTCCATATACTGGATACCTAGGTGCCAACAGGGATAAGTGTGTGCTGGCATACTTAAGGAGTAAAAGTCAAACCAGAGAAGATGAGCTTTTTGTTGAGAAAAATGAAACATCATTCATTTCTGTAAAATGGAATAATCTGATTATGTACATTCCTTGCAACATTATTGTTTACTCAAGTAGTCAGAAGAACTAGTTCTTTTCTTTAACAAGTAACTTCCACTGCTTACTGATGAAGACTGCTTTTATTTTATTTAGGTGTTTGAGCCTTTTGGTGATATTGAACTAGTGCATATGCCTATTGACTCTGTGACTGGACTTTGCAAAGGTTTTGGTTTTGTTCAAGTGAGTATGTTTTCTCTTAATATGAGAGGGTCTCTCAGGGAAATTGGTACAGTCAACTCACAACTGAAAGTTGACACTTTTTTGGTTACCTTGCAGTTTGCCCGCCTAGAAGATGCTAGAGCTGCAACAAGTTTAGATGGAAAACTGGAAATTGCAGGTCAAGTAATTAAGGTATCTTTACTGTTATTAATATTATTTTTTAATAAACTTGTTTAAAAATATTTTTATTTGGTAAATTTGTTGAACACGTATTGTGTGTTGAATCTCATCCCTTGTTCAAGTACTTGGCTAAATAGTGGAACAAAAGGTATGCAGGAATCTTGTTCAGGCTTCATTAGTAACCAAATTTCTCCCAGGATATCAAATATGCTAAGAGAGAGAGATACATATAGAGAGAACGGGATAGTGGGAATGTGTGTGCTAGTTGGTTCTACTCTGGTAATTGAATGGTTGCCATGAATCTAACAATATGTCCTTTTCAAATGGCTCTCTAACTAATAAGTTGTCTTACTCCGTGTATGTTATCTGTTACTTATTTGTATACATTGATGCAAGTTTTTGTAATCTTTTCTATCTTTTTAAATGAAGGTCTCAGCTGTTACAGATCAAACTGGAATGGCAGATGTTGGTTCAAATGCTGGTGATTTGGATGGTGATGAAGCTGGTGGCTTGGTTAGTATCTTGCCCCTTTTTCCTATGTACATTAGGATACATTGTACTGTTTCAGCAGCATGTCTGGTAATAAAGACCCTAACTAGATGACCAATTTATTTTAAACAATCTGGGTCCATTTCATTTCAGGAAGAGGGGAGAAAAAGAAGTGTTGTCCTTATTTGAACCCTTTTTTTTTTTGGTATTTGATTTCAATTAATTAATCATTTCTACTTTTCCTATTTTACTTAAATGCTGATGCCATTCCTGAATGATTTTAGTCTTTGGACGCACACTCTCGAGTACTTCTCATGAGGAAACTAGATCACACTGGTACCACAATGAGGTTTGATACTCTTAGTATCTATTTCTGGCCCACATCTAGGTTTTAATCCTTTAATCTTACATACTTCTTCATTACTAATATTTGACAGCATCAGTGGTGTGGTTGATCTTCTTAATGGATCTGATCCTCCACCAAGTGCATCAAATCTTGGTCTCTTTCCTGCAGGTTCTCTCCTTATCCCTCCTCTTGCACAGGCTCCTATTTCTGCAGTTGCAGAGTTGCCTAGTTCAGTTGCCTCCATTCCTGCGGTTACTCTCTCTATGATCATTGGTGTTCCCAGTGAATGTTTATTGCTTAAGAATATGTTTGATCCAAAGCTGGAGGTTGGTATTGGAAATTTTGGTTAAATAAGTTGTCCTATTTCAGCACCAGAGCCCCTATTAATGAATTTCATTGCAGAGAGAACCAAACTTTGATCTGGATATTAAAGAAGATGTTGAAGATGAATGTTTGAAGTTTGGTACATTAAAGCATATCTATGTGGACAAGTAAGTTCCTGTACCATTAAGATAGACTTCTTATACCCTTAGCTCCTTTTTGAGATGGTAAGTATTGAGTTGTTTTGCTGATCACTCAGCTAACATCATTTTCTGATCAGGAATAGTTCTGGCTTTGTGTACTTGCGGTTTGAAAATACTCAAGCAGCTATGAATGCTCAACGTGCACTCCATGGGAGGTGGTTTGCTGGGAAAATGATTACTGCAACATATATGGTGAGATGATTGTTTCTCTGCTGCATGAGTGTTTATTGAGGACCATGTTAGGTGGTGAAACAAATAAGCACACAAATCCATTTCTCGTTTATACAGGATCTCCAGAGTTATGAAGCTAAGTTTCCTGAGAGCAGATAAAGGTTGAAGATGCAAATCCTACTAATATTGCTGATTGCTTCACTGATAGAAACATCAAGTTATTTAGTTATGCCCGTTACCACTTATGTTGTGCTCGGATAACAAATGAAATCTGTCTTTTGATGATACAACGCTAAATAAACTTCAGAAACATTAAATGGTTGCTAGCAATTCTTATGTAGTTGCTATCGTTGTTTGTTATTGTGGGCTACATGTGCTGGAGCATGGTAAAATGGCTCATTTGGCAACAGTGGTCAGTTTGTATAGCTTTATTGCTTCTTGTTGCTGAAATGAACAGGTTAACAATGTTATAATGTAAAGACTATTATTTTTATTTGTCACTTCGTGTTAGATTGCCCTTATGGGTGTCCATATACTACATGTTTATATCTACATAATAATTATCTAAATAAAATAATTACTTAAAATGTGATTAATTATTACGGAGCAAATTTGGAGGGATGAAAGGTTTAAAGAATCGAAAAAATTATAAAGAAAATTTTCTAATAATTCATAAAGTTTTGTATGTGCGATTGTCTCTATTTTCCTTAAAGATGTTAAAGAAATAAATTAGTACTGTATAAAACTAGATAAATTAGTACTGTATAAAACTTCTCTACTTTCCCTAAGATGTTAAAGATACGGATTATAAATTTGTCACGATTTTCAAAATTGTGTATATTCACTAATTTAATCCTAGATATTTTATTTGAATTTATGAATTAAATTTCAAATATTGAATTGAATTATTAAATTTACAATTTTTTTGAAGGGAAAACAATTAAATATTATTATTAATATACATGCTCAATACAAAAGGAATAGAAGATAATTAACTAGCCGGACCCGTTTGAAAACGAGCACAAATCCTGCATAAAGAGTAGTCCTGCAAGGTGTCACTAATCAAATTGCATACGATTTGGCAATTCAAAAATATTGAAATCTTCAATAAACTCCTTTCCTTAGACCAAAAGAGAGAGCCTCTTTAACCGCAAGCACCTCCGTCAAATGGGGGTCATCCATACATCGCAAAGGACCATTTTTTGCCGCACAAACTCTCCATACCCATCGTGTTCAAATTAAATTGTAAATTGAGAAATTACAAATTAGTTACTATATTGGATCAGCAATAATTATTATTAATTATGACAATAATAATTATTGTGAACCTAGCTGATTGATACGAGATGAGAATTGAATGTATTGTATTGAATACCATTGATTGAATTGCAAAGTTACAGAATACATGAATATATACAATTAAGAATAGAGACTAAGATATAATTGAAATGCAAAGTTACAGAATAATGAATATATACAACGAAAGAATATCAAGAAGACTAAGATCACTGTTGCAAAAAGCGCGCCTAGGCGCCTAGCGATTTTTTTAACATTGACTAGGATAGAGTCCGACCCAAAAAAAAAAAAAAAAAAAAAAAAAAAAGAAAATAGAAGAAAAGGCTGTAAGAAAAACAGAAAAGAGAAGGGACTTGTCTAATGACTAAAAAGCCCTGCATCATCGTTCAAGTTGTTCTCTGGTTTTAACATTAACTCCACAAAAACATTTGGTATAGTTCTAGGGTTTCATATTTCTCAGCATTACCGAATCTCAGGATTTTCCTTGAAGTTACATCCCGATCGAATAGCTGCTTTGTTTTTCTCTTACGATAATTGAGGTAATATCTTTGATTATGAATCAAATACTTTGCCCTAGTTTATTTTTCGTTTTTGATGCTTCAATGGGCTGACTGTTGATTTCTCCGATTTTGCTGAAGACGATGACTCAAGACGTGGAAATGAAAGAGCAACAACCAGCTCTTTCCAATTCTGTCTCCTCAACTGGTCCCTCAGTTTTTCAGCGTAAGTTCATCTCCACGAATCTAGTTGGGCTATGCTTTCGTTAGACCAAAATGACTGTTTTTTTTAGTTTTAATTGAATGTAATTGTGTGGAATTTTGGGGCCTTTAGATTTGAAGGACATTGCTTCACTTATTGAGACCGGAGCATATGCTCGTGAGGTTAGGAGGATTGCCAGAGCTGTGAGATTGACTATGGCGTTGAGGAAGAAGCTTAAGGCTTCTACCCTAACTGCTTTTCTGAATTTTATCCTTTCACCTGGATCGGAGGTGCATTCACGCTTATCTTCCTATCTGCCCAAGGTAAACTGGTTCAACTACTTTGGAGTGGGAATATTTGAATATCATAGTAGGCATTACTGCTTTAATTTCCCTGTTTCTATATGAAGAATTAAGAAAAAGCACGGAATTGGTGGAGTATGCAGGACTACTACCAGTTTTAATGAACTTGGAGAATATGAGTTCTACTACATAGACTCCCAAATCATACTCCCTAAATTTTACTCCTGATAGGCTACTTTTTTAATGTGGGTCCCAATACACCGTGTCTACATCAAAATTTTGTATGTGGGAGTAAAAGTTGGGAGTAGAAAATAGGAGTACATATAGTATTTTCCGGAGAATATATAGACTAAAAGGACATACATTGTGAGAGAGTTAAATATATTCTTTGTGCTTGACTTAGCATGTAGTCCTTACTTATTGAACATGTGAATAAAATTTACTTTTGTTGTCAGTACTTAATTGTATTGTTTGGCATTTTGTTCTAATGTAAGTTATTTTCGAAACAGTTTTACTTTTTCACAAGTTCCTAATATTGTCTCTAGGGGGATGAGCATGATATGGAAGTTGATACTGCAACTTCAGCAACTCAAGCCCCTGTAAAACACTCTGTGCCAGAACTTGAGATTTATTGCTACTTGCTTGTTCTTATATTTCTTATTGATCAGAAGAGGTACAGTGAGGTAAGATAGACTCACAGACACATGATTTCCTATCATGCATTGTGTTCAAAGAATATATTTTCCTCTAAACTCTAAGTATGTTTTCTTTATCTTCAGGCTAAGGCTTGTTCTTCAGCAAGTATTGTTCGTCTGAAAACCTTGAACAGGAGGACCGTTGATATTCTAGCTTCTAGGCTCTACTACTACTACTCTTTGAGCTATGAACTTACTGGTGATCTTGCTGAGATTAGAGGGCAAGTTCCATTTCTTTTTGCAGTACAAATTACTTCTAGATGAGTGCTGTAATAAAAAACCTTCTACCCCCTAAAGTAGAAAAAAATCCAGCATACTATAGTTCTGGATACCATTTGGCTAAGCCTGCATCTTAAATGTTATGTATTTTTTGGCAATTCTATTACCTCATTTATATTCTTCATTTTCAACAGTGATCTCCTTGCTTTGCACCGCATTGCAACACTGCGCCATGATGAGCTGGGCCAGGTTTGTGGCATATGGTTTTGAACTTTATGTTTTCATGTTAATATAACATTTTTTTTCTTGCGTGCCTGATTTTATGATTATCTTCAGGAAACAATTCTTAATCTGTTACTGAGGAATTACCTTCACTACAATCTGTACGACCAAGCTGAGAAATTGAGGTCAAAAGCACCCCGATTTGAAGCTCATTCAAATCAGCAGGCAACTCTCTACATAATTCTCTGTGTGCATATTTGTTTGTTTGTTTCTCTCTCTCTCTTTTTTTTTTAAGCTGATCTTTTTATTTGATACAACTTAGGGTGTGTTTGGTTCATGGGTTTAGCTTCAAGGAATGGGATTCAAAGTGATTGTTATTGTTTGGTTGATAGGTTTCCAGAACACTACTATGGGATTTGATTACCCCCTTAATTAGAAAACCCATTCCCTAATAAAATAAGGGTTTCATTCCATTATTCCCCCTCCTAATTGGTAATTTGATTTTTAAGTTTGGATTAGTGCTTTTAGATTTTTATTTTTTTATTTTGGTTCATATTGGTGCTTTGGATGTCTTTATATTAAGAATAAATTGTCTTGATTTTTTGTTCTTGTATTTTTAAAACCTTTATTCCCATTATAGGATCATACATAACCAAACAATAATATTGGTAATCATTCCAATTCCACCCTACTATCAAACATGCAAAATACTTTCACCAAAACCCATTACCATTACCAAGTATTTGATTCCCATTCTAATTCCGATTCCCATGTGCGAACCAAACACACCCTTAATATACTATGTTTGTAGATAGAAAACTGAGATGATTTACATAGAAACTGCTTTCGATATCTTTGTACTTTTATATAATTTTTAAGTAAAACATTGGGTTCTCTTTTATACATCTTTTACATGTCAAGAGTTTTCAGTTACCTTTTTAATATATTCACAGTTTAAAGTGGCATTTCTATTGCATATTTGCATTGGACTCACATTTTTAACACCATTTTTTGTCTTTATTTCTGCAAACTGCCTGTCCTCACATTTGCTCCTCTCGATTCCCATGTTGTTCTCTTTGTTTTCCAGTTTTGTCGATACCTCTTCTATCTTGGAAAGATCAGGACTATTCAGTTGGAATACACTGATGCTAAGGAGTCTCTCCTTCAAGCAGCTCGGAAAGCTCCCTCTGCAGCTCTTGGTTTCCGAGTTCAATGCAACAAGTGGGCTGTTATTGTCCGCTTATTGCTTGGAGAGATCCCTGAGAGAACTGTTTTTATGCAGAAAGGAATGGAGAAAGCATTAAGGCCATACTTTGAGTTAACTAATGTAAGTATGAGATATGTTTGTCTTAAACTATGTAAAACAATCTCACTGGTAATTTTCTTCAACTTCTTTCTGTGGTTCAAGGTTGTAAATGAAGTCTCTCTTTAACACTTGCAATTACATCTCAACTATTTAATGTTCACCACTAGGCCATGAGTTGAAACTTTTGAAACCAACATTTAGGTTGCCTCCACTTCCATACTTTGCATACGGCTAGTGTTGAGCATTAGTTCCATACTTTTATTAGTTGTGTAACATTTTGAAAAAATGGTCTCTCTTTTGCGATTTTATACTCATTGTCTAACAATGTGGACAATTCTGGTTACTAAACCCTGCATACCAGAAGAACCCTCCATTTCTTGTTGGGAGTTTATACAAATTGCACATAAACATAGTTTTAGAGATGCATCAACTGATTAATAATGTGTGTTTCTTCAGGCTGTTCGTATAGGAGATTTAGAATTATTCAGGCAAGTAGCTGAGAAGTTCTCAAGCACTTTCAGCAAGGACCGGACTAATAACTTGATTGTAAGGCTCCGACACAATGTCATCAGGACTGGGCTACGTAATATCAGTATTGCATACTCTCGAATCTCGTTGGCTGATGTTGCAAAGAAGTTGAGGCTGGATTCTGCGAACCCTATAGCTGATGCTGAAAGTATAGTGTCTAAAGCAATTCGAGATGGGGCTATTGATGCCACATTGGATCGCACTAATGGATGCATGGTATCCAAGGAGACTGGAGACATTTATTCCACCAATGAGCCTCAGATTGCTTTCAACTCAAGAATTGCCTTCTGTCTTAACATGCATAATGAGGCAGTGCGTGCCCTTCGATTCCCACCTAATTCCCACAAGGAGAAGGAAAGCGCTGAGAAGAGGAGAGAGAGGCAGCAACAAGAACAAGAACTCGCCAAGCACATAGCTGAAGAGGATGATGATGACTTCTAAAGAATTGCTTATCAGCTGCAGCTTCTAAGTGCACCTGCAAGATGCCTGGTTTTCATTATTGCATCATATCATCAGACTAAGAAGGATGTTCTTATTTTTGTGTATTAAACTGTACTCATCTGACTAAGACGGATGTTCTTTGACTTCCTTTTACTTCCCTTTAACTTCACTGCAGAATCATACTTGTGCTATTGATTTGGAATTTAAACATCATCTCAACTCTTAAACCAAACCCCATATTCCCACAAAGGCAAAATTTTTGAAACAAAATTGCTGGCTCAGTACTGCTATGTTGTTAACTGAATGATTTGTTACATTTTACCAACACGGCAGGTTAGGGATAAAAATGTTGTTTTAGTATTAGCTGTGACTCCAAATACATTGTAGTATGTGTACGTGTGGAAATATTCAAGGGACATATTTTGGAGGTTGGGGATTTGGTGAGTGGGGTGAAAAGCAGGTTCTGAGTTGCAGGGATTAGATAGGGATAGACAGAAACCAGTTCATGGTTGGCTTTCTTTGTTAACAAAAATATAAACGTTACCTTAGGAGTATTTATGTCAATGAAAGATGAAAGGAGTCAATTCTCTCCACCTTTATCATATCATATAAGAATGTTTGCAGTTTTCATGGATAATCTTATTTTCAAGTCTTCCAAGTGACGATAATGAATTCAGTTGCAACTTAGGAAGGATTGCAAGGCTAAAAAAGAATTGCTTTAAAAGTCGAAAATGTTTATATATAAAAAGATGTGATGATTAACTTCCTTGATCAAACCAGATCATGTTCGTACAACCAATCAGTATACGCTATCAGACTGACATTATTAATTAAAAGGAAGAAAAGAAGGATACAAATTAAACAAAAAGATCATACACTATTCTTGATAATATTCCGTCTTGCAAGAAACCTGGCGATCGGGGGAGTAAGAGCGATTGTGATCGGAACCCGGACGGGAAACAGGGCTTTGTTGAGCAGGACGGCGAGAGTGAGGGCGCCGCCGGTGGAAGCCACCAGCTCAGCCGTCCGATTCCTAATCTTCGGTGGGTCTCGAATCGGGTCATCGCTGATCAGTTCCGGGTTTTGCGACGGGAATTCTTGTTCGTTGGGTTTGGCGAGGCTGGGCATCCCCACTTTCTCGAGCATGGACTCCACGTCCACATTGTTCTTGATGGCTACATAAAGGCCGGTGATGGAGGCCGCCGACACTGAGAAGTGAACCCCCAATCCTACTTTTCCATACTTCTTCAACAGCTCTTTCAGTCTCCCTCCAAACATTTTTCTTGTCTATATATCTATATAATCTGACTAGTATAGAGTGGATGAGGGTTTTGCGCTAGGGTTTTGAAGTTCCACACAACAGAAGAAGACGCTAGCTTTTGACCAAGGCTGGAGATGGAGAAGATTGTACTAAGCCGGCGGCGCGCTTTCTTTTAAAGAAATTTATGTGGGCTTATCTATCTAAATTGTTGGGCTTTTCATTCATTTATGGATCAATAGTTATACCCTGCACCACGGCGCACGACAAATTATGTTGTGCATCCGTACAATCGTTATATCATGGAACCGTGTTCACCATAACAGTAATAGTGTATCATTATTTTTTTTTGTTTGTTTTTATTTTCTTAATTAATCACGCGACTTTTTTTCTTCATTTTCACATTTTGCGCTTTCATTTCCTCTTTACGCAAGCTTCTTCAACATAATTTCATAAAAAGAAAATTCATAATTTCATAACTGCACATTCATAAATTCATGCCTGCACATTCATAATTGCATGAATTTATGAATGTGCAGTTATGAAATTATGAATTTTCTGTTGTGAGATTATGAATTTACAGTAAATTCATAATCTCATAACAGAAAATTCATAATTTAATAAATGTTTATCTTTTATGCGATTATGAATTTTCTGTTATGAAATTATGAATTTTCTGTTATGAGATTATGAATTTACAGAAAATTCATAATTACATAGCTGTAAATTCATAATCTCATAACAAAAAATTCATAATTTAATAAATGTTTTTCTTTTATGCGATTATGAATTTTCTGTTATGAGATTATGAATTTACAGTACATTCATAATCTGACCAAACACGTGTCGTTAACACCACATTAGCTATTTTTTTTTCCGTAAAAACGGCACCGTTTGGACCCATGTTCACCATTCATGGTGAACACGTTTTCAGGACATAATTTGCGGCATCCGTATGCACCATGCATGGTGCATACAGATGCAAAAATGACGTCGTTTTGCATCAAAACGCGTATCCTACTTTAAAAAAAAAATAAAAATTGATTCCCAGCAATAACATTATGTTATTCATTTTTTAGTTCATTCATTCTCGATGTATAGTTATGCAATTCTGGATGTGTAGTTATGAAGTTATGGATGTGTAGTTATGCAATTCTGGATTTATAGTTATGAAATTATGAATGTGTAGTTATGTAATTCTGGATGTATAGTTATGAAATTATGTATGTGTAGTTATGCAATTCTGGATTTTTTTTTTAAAGTTAGACGTAACATAACGATTGACGGCGCACACAGCACTGTGCGTCTCGCGCCTCCTAAAACAACGTCGTTTTGATAAGTTGTGTAGAAAATTAACGCGATTATGTACATTATGGTATACAATTATGTACATTTTTTTTTTATACAATTGTGTACATTCGAAATAGGGAATTTATGTGGTATAATGTTAAGAGTTCATGTGTATTATGTTAAAAGTTTATGTGTATTATGTATTATGTATAATGTTAAAATATGTGTATTATCTTTTCAAAAAAAAAATGTGTATTTTGTTATATAATTATGTACATTTTAATATACAATTATGTGCATTTTAATATATAATTATGTACATTTTCAAAACATGAGATTTTTAATAATAAAGTTTACAGTGGACACAGGAAAGCGGAATTCCCAAAAAAAAAAAAAAAAAAAAAAATCAAAACGACGTCGTTTTGCACCAGGGCGCACAATGCAATACACGTCCTGGTGCACGATATAAATTGCTTTATGGATCCAATTATAAAATTGCATATCAATTATGATTGCGTTCTCCATAAGTTATATGACAATTGTAGAATTTGTCCCTAAGTATTGGTCATACTCACTTTTCGTCGCTAAGTTATCATTAACATTGCACTTTTCGTTTCTTTATTAATAAAACATTAGGGACAGAATTTACAATTTTAGTATAACTCAGAAACGAAAAGAACTAACCTCCATTCGTACTGAGCCGACCTAATTAAGGGACAAAGTGCTGGCCAAATGCATAATTTATATTTTTATGCACTGTATAGTTTTAATTTATATTTTTATGCACTGTATACTTTTTATTCATTTAACATAATTACTATCTTTCCAATAAAATTAAAAAAAAAAAAAAAAAAAGAACATAATTACTAATAATCTGAGCAGTCTGAAATTTGTCTGTCTTATTATAGAAAGAGGTATATGCAATATTTGGAAAGTAAAGCAGGAGACAAAAGATTTGCGTGTGGAGATGGAAGTGTTAGTTATGCAGGTGGTGGAGGCGGTGGGAATTGATCTGTTGAAGATGGTGGTGGAGGCGGTGCTGCTGGTGGTGATGCTCCATTCCCATTCCCATTCCCATCCCGTTGTGATCACTACTCTCTGATATGGATGCATTTGCTTCTTTTCCACCCATCTCCGCCCACCCTCTGCCGCCAGGGTTCCGCGTTAGCTCCAGCAGCGACTCCCGAACATGATCTGCTTGCACCATTTCACTATCCCTTTTCTGCGGAGTATTCAAAAATCACTCTCTATTCACAGTATTCAATATAGGAAAATTTGTATTTGAGTGACGAGGAAACCCACAATCGCTATATGATAAGGTAAATTAGAATCAGTCTATGTTATTCATAACTGACCGACTCAAATTAAGAAGATCAATTTTAATACGTAGATTAGCATCACTGCATCAATATGTATGTTTTTGAGTTATTTTAGATCTTTTCAGTATAGTAGTTGTATCAGGTTCAATCCTAAACTTTCAAGTTAACTATATGTGATACTTCAACTTTCAAATTTTAAGTAGCTGTGGTCGTTCGAAAAGGATGATTAAAATTTGAAAGTTGAAGGACCACGAACAGTTAATTTGAAAGTTTAAACGTGACAAAATCATTATACTCAGAGGACCTTAAATACATTAACTCCCAAATGTATATATGAGTGTGTGCAAAAAGTAATTTTGGGAAAACCTACCTCTACTTTGAATATGTTTGAGACGAGACAGGTGTGTCTTGTGGTATTCACATTTGTTACTTCCAAGCCTAGAGAATTGAGAGCCTCCATCAACCTCACAAATCCACCATACTTGTGTTCACAGAACACCTTCACAAGAAACTCACTCCCATCTAGCTGTGCAACTTCCACTTGAGGCTGCATTTCATCATAACCCACCAAACATTTGTTTCCATTCCTCTCATCTTCAACACAAAAAGGAAACAACAAAATATATATACCTCCATCTGCTGGACCTTGTCATCTGTTTTTTCTGATTCAAGATTTGAATGTTTTTCAGGTTCAGGTTTTGGGACACAGGGATTAATCCCATTCCTGTCTTCTGCCCGGAGATTGTTGCGATTCCTCCTGCCTGTTCCCTCATCGTCCGAGTTCACTTCTAGCTCATTCTGGAGATCTTTGGCTTGCTTCTGCAGCTCCATCACATATTCAATGGCATCTCCCAGGATTGAAGCTCTATCCAGCTGTTACACAATTAATTAATGAATCTCTGATAAATGGGAAAAACATTCTGGTTGGCAATTTAATTTACCTTGGAAATTTTAGGGACCAAGGCTCGAAGAGCATACAGCCTTTCATTCAGTTTCTTCCTTCTCTTCCTCTCTGCAACCAGGTTCTTGGATTGGGGGCCCTTCCCAGTTCTCCTTCTGTACTTGGCATCATCCTCGTCTTCGTTTTGATCGCTGTCTGATATCGAGTGTGATCGACCATTCTCTTGTCTGTACGAGTCATCGTCGTTTCCTCCTTGCTCGTCTTTGTTCTCCAACCGCTCCATCAGCTGCTTCTGCACCACATCGATCTCATCTAACCCGTTCTCCATCTGAGACCTGAAAGCACTCAATTCGCTCGTGTTCTGCATTAGCATGCTAGTGCCACTCTTACAGCTGCCAATGTCTGCAGTGTAGCTCAGCTGTGGGAGAAAGCTCATTGGCAAGCTAGTTAGATGGATTGGATGTGCAGACGGGGATGGTGAGATCACCGGCTGGAAAAGATTGCGAGGATCCATTTGATCGTCTCCATTGTCTGCTGGAATCCCACTCGAGCTGCCCGAATTAAGCATCATGGCTTGCTGCTCCAAGTAAATGCTGCACTGGCTTGAAACAAAGTCTATGACTTGTTGATCTTCAGGTACCTGTAACACAAAGCACCAAAGCTCATCTCATCATGTCATTTTAAGTATGTTCCGTTTTGGGCTTCAATTGAAATCAGAGAAAGATGATAACTTTCTACCAGTTTTGCAGCAAACAGCTCAATTAGTCCAAGTGGTTGTGGAATCAAAACTCGGGTTCCGATTATTTCCTGAAAAAAAAAAAAACAGTTGCTAACAAGTGATGTACATCCCCTTAGGAACATAGATATTCTTCTTCTCAGAAACTGGGTACTTACATCAGAAACATTTGATTCAGAGAGCTGTGAGAAATTCAACCATTTTGCTTGGCTTGATAGAAAGGCCTGTGCATACATTCTGCAATTATGTTGTCAGAAAAGGCTCAATTAATACAGACAGACAGCTTCTATTATATATATAGATTGTACCCGGAATCAAGCAGGATGGAAGCAGGCAATTGTGCGAGCAAATCACAGGATTTAGTTCTGGGATGCTGAAACAAGACATCTCTGCAAGGCAGGCAAGATGAAGAAGAAGAAGACGATGACGAAGAAACAGGGAAAAGAAGCTCTTGTTCACAATTATGGACACCATCAGCTCCAGCACAACAGCAACACAACCACTCAAGAAACCTTTGGTCTTCACTCATCTTCCAAAACACGCAATAATCCCAGTTCTTCGACCCCACAATGGGCCTCAGCCTCTCCACAATACTTTGCACTAGGATCATGTTTCCCCCTGCCACAGTTCAAATAACTCGAAGCCTCGAGAAAAAACCTTATTTTGCTCCTCTAGCTTCACGCGTATTTTGGACAAGAATATCCTCAGGGAACGGGAAACAGCTAATCTTTGCAGACTGTCTTTTTGTTTTGGTACAAAAACAGTATGTATGTCAGCAGAATCAAAAGAAAACATCATTTAAACAACAAGTGGATGATTACAAGATCATGTCTTTTACTTCTGGTAGATTCAAACACAGAGAAGAAGGCAAGAATGACAACATACCTGACCAAAAAGATAGTAGCTTTTATCCAAAAGGATACCTGATTTGATAGAGCAAAATTGGGTAAACAAAAGTAAAAGAACACAAACAACCTAAGTACACATGAACTTCAGCAGATAGTGATGTTTAACTGATGATACTTTATCCTGCCCTTCTACCCCCATCATTCCATACATCTGCCCCCTCTCAATTATCTTTAATTTACCAAAAGATGTACCTTTAATTATCTGATAAGTTTGGTATTATATAGTGTAGCAAGAATAATATGGCTCCTCATATTACCCAAATTCTGGTAGGTGAGCGGCACCTGATGCATGAGAAAAGAGAGACATTTTTGGTTTGTTGGATGAGCCGGTTTTCCAGTCGTTTCTTTTGCAAACAAAATTGTTTAATTATTAGTTACAGCCAATACTAGTTTTGTGTTTTATCTAATGAAGGAAGGGGCATATCGCATGAACGAAATAGCTGTAACTAATCCTTACAAGTTCCAATCGTTTTGAATTCCCCTTCTTAAATCGCTTGTAACATATATAATCACGTGTACACGAGTAAGATTGTTTGCAACATAAGAACACCAAAATGGAATTTCTTAGGAGCAAAAGGCTACAGAATACAAATCGAGATTGCGCATGGGAGGATCTTTGGTACTAAACCCACACTAACAAGAAATTAAGAATTAGCCCACATAAACAACTCAGTTAATTACCAAGTGATAAACTGTGAGCAAGAGCAAGAAATCAAAAATTAAATCAATTGAGCAATACAGATAGAAGAAACTATAAGCCGGCAACAAATAAATTGCATTGCAAAATAAGGTGAATTCAAAACATAGAAGGGTAGCATCTTATCAGACAATGTCATGTTCTGCGCAAAATAACATTCCAGACATATATATATATACTACTACCATAACAATTGCCCTTAGCATCTACTAGGATATATAGCAAACATGGTTAAAGCATGGTGGCAATTAACAGACTTCAAGCTTCACTTCACTCAAATGCCCAAGCATTCTCCCTCCGGACCTCTTCTTCCTCCTCGGGTGTGAAGTCATTTTTGATGTTGAATGTTTTGCGGATCTCCTCTGGCGTCTTCCCCTTGATCATATCAGCGACAGTTTGACAGGTAAGATCCAGCAAGCTCTTGATGTTGAGGTAATTGGCAGCCTAGGATGGGAAGGAAAAAGATAGAACCATTAAGTGAAATGCTATAAACAAATAAATGTACTATTCACAACCTTTCATGCCAAAGATGATGTGAGCAAGACATTCAATTCACACCATAATTAATGGGCTGGAAAGGCACCAGAAGGGTAAGCCTGCTCCTAAAATGATGCTAAGGAGATTACATATGAATATATTGCCCAAACCAGAAAGATTATATACCTGGTTGTGATAGAAGAAAAGGACCAAAGCTGAAACTTCCAAGTTTTAGGGGCTCAAATAGATTAAACTGAGTTGATTATTAACTGTACAGAGATATAGACTACTGGCTACACAGTTTATACAATTGAGAATTTTAACAATGAATTATTAATATTAATACAGTAAGGCAATCACAGTCATAAGGAAGATGCACCAAATATAGCAAATCAAATCAGAAAAGGTCAACAAATAAACAACATTCATGAAATTACGGGATTCAGAAATACAATAGGCAATCATAATCAACAAAATTGGAAAATCTGTGCAGCTTCAATCACTAATTGAGCAAAACCTAAACAGGTAAAGGCAAAAGGCTAAATAACAAACCCTAGAAAGATATAAATCGAAGGCGAAAACAGAGTTTAACAGATACAACCGCCCATAATTGAAACCTTTAAAGTATCATGAAAATAAACCCTAATACCTAACATAATAAATTAGTATATAAAAAAACTCGATGAGAAATAAGAAAACTATATGAACGGATGAAATTGAAGAGAAGACATAGAGATTCATACCAAAATAAGATCAAAGAGCGTTGCCTGGTCAACTTTGACGAAATCGGCGTCAAAGGTCTTAAGATCATCTTCACCGGGCTTCTCCTCAGTCTTGGAAGCAGCCTCAACATGGCGTTTACAGTACTCTATAACCTTAGCCAAGATCTTGCTAGTGACATTAGGGAGTGGGATGACGGTATCAGCGCAGTCGTCCTCAATCATGTGCTTGATCGTCTGAGACTCGAGCGCTACCGCCTCTTCGACCTCGAAAGTTTCACCGTCGGAACTCTTCAAAACGATCATCTTTGAGGAAGACATCTTCTTCAATTCCGGGCGATGAGAATGGATCTAGAATCTTAACCCTAAGAGAGAGAAACAAGGAGAACGATATATTGAGCAATAGAAGGTGAAGAGTGAAAACGCTAAACGCAGGTAAAAGAGGGCGTATGAAAGGACAATCGTCGTCAATTTATAGAAGGTTCGAGAGCACCGTAATCGGCTCACTTTGGTCAAAATTAATTGTTGACTGCTGAATTAACTAATTGGGCGTCTGTTCGGTTCAAATTTTGGATGATTTTGTTAGATTTGATACTACAAACTAAAATTATTTACAATTTAATTTATATTTCAAAATAAAGTTTCTTAATAAATTTTTTTTATGCTCAAAATATAGTTTAACTTTACATAATTGAAAGAATTGTTAAATTTATAAATATTAATTTAGATATTATTTAAATTAGAGACAAAAGATTTCAGTTACCATAATATATATATATATATATATATATATATATATATATATATATATATATATATATATTAATTTAGATGCTCTCTAAAAATATGGTAGTTGATATCTTATAATATTGAGTTATAATATTAAAAAAGATTATAATATTCTAAATATATTAATTTGATTACTTACTAAATTTACATACATAATAAAAACAGGCAATTATAGTATTTCATATATATTAATTTGACTTTTTACGAAATTTATATAATAAAATTAATTCTATCTATAATATTAAAGTTATAATTAGATATAATCTATACTATAAAATAGGCGAAGCCTTGTTTGTTTTGGGTAACCCCCTCCACGACTGATCAAAAAAAGTTATAATTAGATATAATCTATACTATAAAATAAAATTTTCAACTTTTAACTTCCCGCCACATTCCTAAAATTTATATTCTAATATTGTAAAATAGTGTAATACAATTCCTAATAAAATATATTGTTTTCTACTTTCATATTCATATTATTCTTCCAAAAGGCTGAACCCCAATCCTAAAGGCCCCCCACACCCCGGCCCGACAGAGCATTTGCAAACCTTCAAAAAACTGCACCGAACTTGATTGACCAATGGTATGAATGTTTATATACATTAATTATAAGTGTTCAGTTACTACACGCAATTTTTATTTTTTTGTATATATACCGACAATTTAAATTAGTTTAATTTTACACCAATGTATGATATATAATACAGAGTAACTCAGTTAAATAATGTAAGTCTATGTTATGAATCTATGATCAATGATAGTTGACAAATTAATAATAAATTTATTTCTTTATCAGTCGAATTATGTTTTATCTTATATGCTTTTATTCTCGTGATTAAGTATGCAATTGCTTAGGTTCTAAATGATGTTTACATTATTATCTTATTCTCGTGATTAAGTATGTGATTGCTTGGTTCTAAATGGTGTTTACATTATTATCTTTGAACTCCTTACGAAATGATATAGTAATACTTATAACGAATGTGTAATATGAGGTTGATAAACTAACTACACAAGATTATTTTGATAAATGATTCATGTTACTATTATTTTTATCATTGCCTTTTCTCAATTGGTAATTTGCTAAATATGTAACATTAGCGTATACCGAATGTGATTATTGTACACAAATCCCACACTTTTTATTAGAGTTAATAACTATTACAAATATTGCTGATCTTTGATTGTAAAATAGCAGGCATTGTTAACAGAGTGAATAATTATAACAACAAAATATAGCTCTCAGTTCTGTAATTTCAGTGAAATCTGCACTTTGCCCCCAAACATCATTCACCTTCATATCTTTGAAACAGGGAGGCCTGCAGTAATTGAATCCAATGATGTTCTCAGACAAAACACCCCAAATAGAACATACATTTACAAAATTCTGATACTGGAACCACTACTGGAAATTATGAAATTTCCGACCACCTGAAAGTGATCTTAAATCAAGTCGAAAATCTTGTTCCGACCACTTTTGATATCTGGAAAAACCTTTGTTGCTATTTCCGACCACTTTTTGGTATCAACTTGATTTAAAATCACTTTCAAGTGGTCGGAAATTCTATAATTTCCAGTAGTGAACTTTGGGTGAGGAAAAAGTTACCTAAAGCTTTTGAATTGACAATGCTTGGGCAAGCAGGTGGAGGCAAAGCGTTCTCGTTCAAGAATACGTCCACTTTGTTTGGGTCGTGCCAGACTGGGTACCCTTTGATCTTACCCTATAAATTGACAGTCTCACTATAAGTTTAGGCTTTTAGTTAACAGATAAATACACACATCCTTCAGTTGCATGTATGCATACGGGTTAAGAACAACATTGAACAACACAGACAAAAGAAAGTAAATTTAGTAAATTCTTAGCATTCACAAAGACAAAGATCATCCTTATAATCTTCAAGATTGCATACCAGGACATTGAGAGCAGCGAGTGTTGCCATTCCCTCGCGAGTCCACTGCACAAGCAATGTAGGACTATGAACATTATGTGTTTTTGTCGAAATGGGAGAGGGAAAAACGCGATTTTACCTTGGAAGCAGAAGCTATGTGAGGAACAACAACAGCATTCTTCATGTCTGCGAGCCCGGGTTTCATGTAAGGCTCATCCTATTCGAAAACAGTAGTTGAGCAGCTAGTGTCATCGCCGAATGGTAGCCTAAAACCACATTTCACAGAAAAAGGATAAAACGGTTTCCAGTCTGGATTACCTCAAAGACATCAAGGCCAACACGAAACATGGGATTTTCTCTGAGGTGTTGCACAAGAGCTTCCTCATCAACAACAGGACCTCTACTGCAATTCACTAGTATCGCTTCCTGCAATACGAATTCCGTGTTTTTTTCATGAAGTAAACCAATAGGGAAAGTCTGGTTTTGCGTAATTACTGTTACCTTCTTCATCATTGCAAGTCTTTCCTTGTTAACAAGATGAAAAGTTGTCTTGTCCAACACAGGATGCAGGCTTATCTACGCAAACATTTTGAGCAGACAACATAGTAGGATCAGAACTCCAGCTGTTTGTTTTCACAAAATTGATAAAACGAATGGTTGGCTATTGAGAAGATGCATACCACATCAGCTTCTCTCAGCACCTCGTCCATGCTCGACGCTCTTTTCCAGGTAACAGGCTGTTCACCATTGGATTTCAAAAACTGGCCATAAGCTGTAAAAGGGAAACACATTAGTATTAGCAATAAAATGTCGTAAAAAGTTGGTAGAATGAGCTGCAGACTTGCCTGTCACAAAATTTTCTAGACGAGTGGATTGGTACAGATCATAGTAAATCAAGTTCATTTTGAACCCTTCAACCTATTAGAACAAGACCAGATTTCTTCTATTAGCACGGCATATCAAGTAATCAATATAACAGCTGCATTTACAATGTCAGATCATTAAAAGAAGGAAAATTTAAAACATAGGATGAGAACATAGTACATACCATCATCCTTGCATATGCAGATCCAATTCGACCTGCTCCAATCACACCCACAGTCTGCCCTTTAAGCAAATTTCCCACAAATCTAAAATAGAGCATAGCACTTACTCATCAACCAGATTTCACAGTTCAGGAAGAAAGTAATTAAAGTTAGTTAGGATAATCATACAAATGTGGGAGCCATCCTTCATATTTGCCATTCCTCATGAACTCATCTGCCTCCACAATTCTTCTTGCTGCAGCCAATGAAAGTGAAGCTGCTAATTCTGCTGTTGTCTCTGTCAGTACTCCCTAACCATCAAAACTGTTGGTTTTAGACATTTTAGAATGTAATTTCTAATTGACACACACATACAAAGAACATCCCGCAAATGCATTACAACAAGGTTACAAGTTCAACTCCAAGCTGGAGCAACTGGCCCCTAGGCTGGTTTAGATTGCACAGCTCTGATACCAAATTGAAGCATGTGCTCAATCTCAACTAAAAACTTAAGCTGATAGTTAGATTGCACATTAATGGCTATATGCACTATTACACAATAAATAAGTGTGTAAGATAAGGAACTTACAGGAGTGTTTCCAACAGCAACACCATACTTTGTAGCAGCATTGACATCAACGTTGTTATACCCTACGGCCATGTTACTGAATGCTTTACCGCCTGCTTTGCTCAGTGCAGAGAAGAGCGTCTCTCCCCAGTCCTCCGTCAACTAAAAAGAGAACACATTTGCACAAAGAAACCATTTTTTTTAAAGAAACAGAAAACCCAGTACTATATAAGCATGCATCAAGAAGTAAAGTTGATATGGTCATGTTGTCACCTGTCCTATGACTCCATCGCACTTATCACCTATCAGAGCTAAGATGTCCTCAACAGACAAGATGGTTTTCTTCTGAGTACATATCTGGGCAATGAAAACACGCGAATGAGAGAGAGAGGGAGAGAGAGAGAGTGATGGAAAGCTGAAAGCTTTGAATTGCTTACTTCTAGGCGGCAATCTTGTTGAACCAAGAGATCAATCCAACGAGTTCCGGGCATGGACTTTGTGCTGACCACTCTGTATTTCCCGTTTGGGTTCCACACTTCAATCTGCACCGGTGCTGCCATCGTCGTCTTCCCTTCCTTATGCTCTGCTCTTCCAATTATCCTGGGAATGAGAGTGTGCGGCTTTCTAACGTCTGCAGCTTTTCTAGCGGTGCGGGTATATAAACTCAATAGGTGGCGGAGATTGTGTGTGTTGCGGACCATGGAAATCAAGATTGGGTAAGGCGCGAAATGGTAAGCATTTAAGGTGCCTGTTCTTCTTCTTGATTTGATGAGTGATTGATTGGGTGCTGGTTTCTGGTATCGGGTGTGGACGCGCAGGGATTGGATGTTGCTCGCAAAATATGCAAAATTTGTGGTTTTTATTTTTTAATGTTTGGACCTCTCGTTTGGGCATAGGATAACGAGGATGTGGGTTTCCGACACGTAAGCACGCTGCTATCTTCTCCTTTCTTTCCAGAATGACAAAGCTTATGTGAGCCACTGGAGTATTCAAAATGGTTAAAATAATAATAGTAATTGATAATAGGCACAGAAAATAAAAACCATACATATGAGACTAATGCTACTCAACCTTTCAAAAATTCCTCCTCTAATTTTTATTTTTTAGTTGAGCTTATTTTAGAATTTTTAGTTTATTTTAAGGTATAAATAAGTTTATTCCTAGATCAGAGAATAAGCTCGCTCATACTATGACTATAACTGCTCGCTACTGATCCCTCTATTTGGTTTCATTCTATTCCCTCATGTATTGAACTTTTGTTATAAATGAAGTATTGCATTTTCCTTTTAAAAAAAAGTTATAAGTTTTTTGGTAAAATATATAAAATTTTAAATAATAGCTTATTTTGAAACATTATCTTTTAAGTATAGCTTCAAAATAAGGTAGTAGCTACTAGTTTTGTTTTAAAAAAAAAAATTCAGTTTTAAGCTAGGTATATAAAATAGAGCCTTACATGACATTTTCTAATTGGACAAATTTTTTAGCTCTTTGTGTTTCGGTAGGTTGAGAAAGTATATGAACAGATACTACAATGTAATGGAGCTAGTAGCATTCAAAAAAAAAAAAATGGTAGGATCACCAAATTCATTCGCAGATTATAAATCACATCATGAAGAAAAATATTAGAAAAAAATTAGAGGGAAAATAGCATTTTTCTACAAATAAAAAGATTACGAGTTCGATTCTTGCCAATACTATCTCAATCTAGCCCTTCTTACATAATTTTATTAGTAAAATTTATCTTTTCTGTATAATTTGTAAACTATTACGCATGAATAATATTTATCTCATGACTATTCTAAAGTAGTGGTTACAGATTTCACTGGTCACCTTACAAAAATGGGTCAAGAAAATATTGGGCTTCACATCACTTATAAATGGGCTGTCTTAGGGTAAATAATAAATGGGCAGAAGCCCACAGCCCATACAAATTTGGATTTGGGGGATGTGCAATGGTGCACAGTACACCCTCTACGTGGCATGTGTTTGCGGATTGAATAATGCCACGGCCTCCACAAAGCAGTGTGGTTGCTTTAGTCAAAATGGACTTTTCAATAATTGACATTTCACTAATTAGGAATTGAATAGGAGGACAAGTGGATAGTGCTACTTTTATCTTATGTTTATAGGGAATGGACATTAGTTATTTAGTTTAATTAATTCTTACTTACTGAGATATTTCTTATTCCAAAAGGTTGAACCCCAACCCTAAGGGTCCTCCACACCCCGACCCGACAGAGCATTTTGGGAGTTACTGAGATATTTCTTAATGATCGGATTGGTATCCCTTGTAGAAGGATACATTTGTACCCTCACAGTATAAGCTATGAGGTCCTATCCTCGAATGGAATTTTTTTTTTTAAAAAAAAAAGCGTTGAACTCGAGTTTAAAATTTAAAATTGTTATTTTTTCCTATTAAAACTACTATCTAACCAGCATTATTTTTAATATGATATTGTTAATTCATAAATGTTTTTTTTTTTTCCTCAATGAAGATAGACACAATCATTAAAAAAAAAATCATGTAGTAACTAAATGCATAAAAAGAGTAATGATATATATTTCGGGACCTATTATGGATGGTCCAACAAACCTAACGTAATTGACCATGAGTACGAATTTTGAATAATTTATAATTTGATATAAGTATAGCATGTAGATTATTTTTGGATACATAGAAACATTTTGAACCGTCTTGCATAAATTTAAATGGAGTGTTTTAAATGTTCAATCAATATGATATATATAAAACATTTTTTTTAACATATTTAGAACAACCCTAATGTAAATTAGGAAACAGTTAACTATTATGTTTTAAAATAAGAAATTGGTTCACACAAAAAAAAAAAAAATTGAATAGGAATAAAATTTGGAAAGAATCTTTAGATTTAAAATTGGAAAACAAAAACTAAAATATAGTTTAGTATTTTATGCATATCATTGTTTAAACTTGAAAGTGGTATGAGAGATTATTTAAGTAATGTTAGAAAATTAACTTACAAAGTTACAACTTTTATAAAGACACAATAGTCTAAATTCAAGTTTAAGAAGGTAAAAATTAAATAGGAAGCATAAAATTATATTTAGCACCTTCCAAAAGTTGGCCAAACTTGTTTCTTACCTATTTATATCCATATTTCTCCTTTAAAAAAAATGAGAGAGAGATAGAGCAGAGCTACAATTTTGACATTACGAAAATAAAAGCACATCAACATACTTCAAATTTAGTCCTTCATAGCAACACATGTGTGGAGAAAACAATATGAAGGTAATATTGATGAATACTTTGAATTTGTGTTCATTACAAGTAGTAAGTTTTATTCAAAGTAATATTTATTTATGTAACGTATTCTGGGTATTCAGAATTTACCAGAGTTGAACTTATTTTTAAGTGAGTTGAGATGAGATTGATGGGCGTAATCAACGGTGGAAAGTGGTTGGCAGTTTTAATCGAATGACCACGTCCTAATCCTCCACTCTGTCTCTCTCCCACGTTCTGAACCTCCTCCACCAAACCTTAATTTAACAGGCACAGAAACGGAGAGGGTCTGCTACTGTTAGTGTTGCAATGGAGAGGCTTATCTCTTTCAACCCTATCTCATCTAAGCCCGCTCTCCCTCCTCGCCTCTCTCCGCTCGGTTTCGCCACCGCCGCCCGCCCCAAACTCGCCTTTTCTCCGCCCTTGACTTCTGCTGACTCGCCACGCTTCCACTCGATCCGCTGCCGTTACCTCGACTCCTCCTCCGTGGTAGCTTCGGAATTTCGCGATGCTCTCTCCGATAAGGCTTCTGAGCCTGCGGATTTGCCTGATGGGAATGCGCTCCAGCCCAATTTCATCCAACAGATTGCTGAACATGTATTCAACCGACAAAAGGTACCAACTTTAGGTTGATAATCTTATTTTGCCTTTTACTTTTTCTGTTAATCGTGATTTTTGGGGAACCTATCAAGACTGGTAATCAAACCACTGAAATCTGTATTATTAACATGCTTCATGATTTTGACTATGAAAGGAATGCGCTTTTCCTAAATTTACCTTTTTGAGAGTGAATAATTGGGTATCTAAACTAATGTGCATGTAGTTATACCCATTGAAGATGTGTAGTGGAACACATAGAAGCTATTGTTTGGTTATGTTCATGGGTGATGCCAAAAAAGATAATTTTTTTAGGTTATGGTACTAAGAAGCTGCAGGCATGGTGTCCTATGGCATGAATGCATTGTCTTTTCTGGAAATAATTAATGAATGTGTAGCATGTGTTACTATGAATTGTAGATGTGGGAATCTGAACTATGAGATTTACATGTTTTTTTGCTGCGTCCACTGGTGAATTTCACTTGAATTTTGTGTTCTTACTTTAACATGATGCAAAAGGTGTATTTCTCAAAATATTATTATGAAAATGTTTCAGGCAGTGGGTGCGATAATACTTCTTTCAGCTATCTGTACATTGTTTCATCCAGCCATTGTATCACCGGCTTTTGCTAGCTTTCAAAGTGCTGCAAAGGCCGGAGGTTCTGCTGCATCTGCAGCGGGTATTAGTAGTGAATTACTAAACAGTGCATGGACCGGGTTCTTTGCTGGCTGCTTACACACATTATCTGGGCCTGATCACCTTGCTGCGTTGGCTCCACTATCAATAGGCCGGACTAGGATGGAGAGTGCTGCTGTGGGAGCTCTCTGGGGTTGTGGCCATGATGCTGGGCAGGTGATATTCGGGCTGTTGTTTCTACTCTTAAAGGATCGACTCCACATTGAAGTCATCCGAACCTGGGGTACGAGAGTGGTTGGCTTTACCCTTCTTGTAATTGGAGCAATGGGAATTAAGGAAGCATCTGAAGTGCATGCACCATGTGTTGCCCTAGAAAACGGTGAGTGTGATGTTAGTTTATATGACGGGCTCGAGGCTCCTCCGGCCATTGGGAAAAAGAAGAAGGTTGGCTTAGCTACATTTGCCACCGGGATTGTTCACGGTCTTCAACCCGATGCTCTCTTGATCATCTTGCCTGCGCTTGCTTTGCCCTCTCGCCTCGCCGGTGCTGCATTCCTGGGTATGTTCTTGGTTGGTACTGTAATTGCAATGGGAAGCTATACTGCCTTCATTGGTTCATTTAGTCAGGCACTGAAGGACAGGGTCCCTCGAATAACCGAGAAGCTTACTTGGGCTGCTTCACTTCTAGCTATTGGTCTAGGTTTATCTCTTCTAGTCAGCCAATTTTTTGGTTTTAGCCTGTATTGATTTGAATCCTACGTTTTTATTTATGTTAGCGAGATTTGTTTTGTGTTTCAAAATCAAAGTTGACAATCAGTGTTCTCTTTATCTTTACAAAAAATTAAGCTTTAATGTTATATATTCAACTGTACTAACTGTGTATACACAATTTGGAATATAGCATAGAAAAGCCTAAACATTTTACAACCATACACAAAAGATTTGCCTAAACAGAGTCACTATTAACCAGTTCATGTCTTGATTCTGTTAACAAAATGACCAATGCAAGTATGCAACACTTCAAACAGTCTTTCTCCCCTCGAACTATTGTTTTTTGTTGATGTCATAAAGCACACAAATATCTGCAGCCGATTTCATCTGAAGAAAAAGAAAAGACATGCACGAGGAGAGTAAATATGTGTTGTTTATAAACAAGAAAACGGATTGTTGTGTTGAAGTGAGAAATTTAGAGTATTATGGTTTCATTCAAAAGGAAGATTCACTTATGAACAATGGTGACAAAGAATGCTATACACATGCTCAAGAATTTGCCTTCTGAAAAGGAGAAGTAGCCAATAACTTTCTGTGTTTTAGATCAGAAGTGTTCAAAAAGTTGGATTTTTTTTTTTTTGGGGTTAGACCATGAGGTGTCCTGAGTACTACCAATATATAACACTGAAAAACAAGTATGTGAACACAAAGGCAGTATTTGTTTACCTGTATGACATTAACAAACTGCTTAATTGACCATCCAAGTATGAGAAGGGCAATTAGAGCGAGATAAAGCCAACTCTTGGTTGCAGCGCTTAGAAGAACCTATTAAGGAAACACAAGAAATCTGGTAAATGCTAACAAAAAAATTGGCACCATACCAGAATAGTTAATAATATAACCAATCAATCTTACAGCTGAAGGCTTACATCAAAGAGGTTTTCAGTCTGGTTCTGTGGAAGAAGGAACAAAGTGATGTAAAGAACCTGTACGTCGTATAAAATCAATGCATGCAGTCAAAAGTCAAAACTAGGATAAACATAAGAGCAATTAAAATTCGTAAGGATTTCTGGAGATAATCACCTCACAGGACACACAACAATAGCCCATAAATATTCGGTTTCCATAGTAAGCCTTAAACAGCCAGTTACTGCTGTCTTTTACGTCTTTATGACTAGTTTTGCCTACTAAGAAGGTACTGCAATAGAAGATAGTAGAAACAGAGATTTAAAAATCAACTGAGCCATATATCCTGTGAGGACTGAACAAGGAGGAAAGAACGAGAATATTACCTATACATTTGCAACCAATGGCTCGCAATATCTAACGCAAGCAAAGACAAGAAAAGCAAACCAGGCCTGACAGCACGTGGGGCAAGGAAAACGAAAGAGCCTCAGGCATGTTGAGATTCATTTAACTAGCCAGCGACAAAGACAAACAAAGCCACAATTAACTACCTATATACTTGGGAGAGAATCACCAGCAGACAAGCAGTGCTGATCCTGAGAAACCGCCATATACCCGTGTCAACCAAACTTAGAAATAAGCTAAGTGGAAGAAAAACTGAGTTGCTAGCCTAAAGCTTAATACAAACACCGACTAAATTATAGAGGCAACGAGACTATATGCTTATCAGATACCTGTCAGTTACCATGTCCAGAACTGCTCCAAATGTTGACACTATCCAGAAAAGGAGGTAAATATATCAAATATAATGCTATAGACCCCATTAGTCATTACATCTAACACAAAATATGAAAGTTACATAATGAATACTATCAGGGATGAAGCTAATCAGCCATAGCAAGAGATAATACATGGAAACTAGTGCTGCTGATTAATGGGCTGTCTAGTAACAAGACTTTTCATGTTTTCCCAATTTAGAAAGAACTACCATAGCAGATTAGCAGTCTCTAAATAATATGAACTAACCCTAGCAAGATTATTAGCATTTCTAACGCAGTTGTATATATACTACAGAGTAGTTCATAAAAAGTTGTTATTCAACAAATCTTTAAACAACCCGCCAAAAACTAAAGCTCAATGTAGAAATTAATAGTATACCAAACCCCTACTAGAAAGTTATTTTTGAGAAGTTTGATTAAGTCTCACCTTGATTGAATTTGCGGGCAAACCAACCATCCAAAGCATCACAGACGAAGCTACAATCATTCAAAAATCCATTTCTCAAGCACAAAAGAGAGAGAGAGAACACATGAAAGTAATTACTCACCTGATGAAGTAGAGAACAGAAAATAACTTTTTATCGACAAAACACAGCGCGAATGCAATACAATTTAGCAGAATTCTTATGTAGCCTGCATACAACATAACTTAATAAGGAATACTTCTATTGACGCTAAGTCGATAAGCTCAAAAACAGTGACAGGGATGAGCTAAAGAAAGGTTTACCAATAATGTTGGGAATGTAGAGGTACACGTTCAAGGGCCTGCTCCTTAACTGATCGGCCATCGGCGACGACTGTTTCAGGTTAACCGATAGATGAGAAAACTATGATTTCCGATCGTAATTGACACTTGATGAAACGCCGCCGAGGCGGCGACTTAAACTTATCGACGGGGATGAAGTGGTCTGTCTCCCACCGAAGTCAATGTTTTCAGTCAATAGTGGACCCGGACATTGTGTGCCTACATTCCATTTGGATTACACAATAATGACATCAAATCATAAGGTACTTATTATAATTGATTATAATTAAATCGGCATACTTTAAGAAAAAAATATACTTTTCGTTCATAAGTTATAAGATAATTGTAAAATTCGTCCCTAAAGTGTTAATCGTATTCACTTTGTGTTCCTAAATTATTATTGAAATTACACTTTCGTCCTTTTATTAACTTTGTATGCTTACTTTTTGTCTCTAAGTTATATTAAAGTTGTAAATTTCGTCATTAATGTTTTGTTAATAAATGAACGAAAAGTGTAACGCCATTGATAGCTTAGAAAAAAAAATGAACATAATAAATAATTAGAGACGAATTCTACAATTATCGTATAACTTGAGAATGAAAAGTGTAATTATTTTCATAATTTATTAATTGAAAGTATATGTTAGTGCAATTATTTTTTAAAATTTATGTAAAAAACAAAAGGAGAAAATAAATTTAAAAAAAAGAAAGAAATATAAAAACTAATATAGCGGTCACCTTGATGTGCCCAATAGCCACATGCACTGCTCACGTCTATTGAGCGTTGATGGTGCATACCAATTAGATGGTTTCTAATCTACTAATTATACTGTCCATCGCGATCCACAAAGTTTTGTGAATCGTGGTTCAAAACGACACACACTATAGTGTATCTAAATTGATATTATCTCACGTATTATTTTTATTATATTATCAAATTAAATTGCAATTGAATTGAAATAAAACTGTAGTTGTGTTGAAATAAAACTGCAGTGTATACAAAATGAAACTGAATAACAACTTCACATATTTGAGTGTTTATTATCCAGCGAAATTGTAGTTATATCAAAATGATACTAAAATTGTGTTGAAATGAAATTACAGTGCATATTTGATACCTAAATTACAATGCATATTCATTTGTTATGCTATGAACCCGTGTCCAGCATGCATGCTAGACACGGTAACGGCGCCGTTAGGCACCGCTCTCTTCCACTTTTTTTTTTTTTTTTTTTTTTTTTTTTTTTAAATTAGATCACTTTGTTATAGGAGTATATGTTCATAATTTTATCACTATATGTTCATAATTGTAAGTTCATAATGTCAAAACTCTGTGTTCATAATTGCATAACTGTACATTCATAATTCCGTAACTGTACATTCATAATTCAATAACTGTAAATTCATAATTTTTGAAACTCTATGTTCACAATTTTAGAGCTCTATGTTCATAATTTTATCACTATATGTTCATAATTGTAAGTTCATAATGTCAAAGCTCTGTGTTCATAATTCCATAACTTACATTCATAATTCTATAATTGTACATTCATAATTCCATAACTGTACATTTATAATGCCACAAACGAATAATGTCGTTAACGGCAATACAAAATCAATTTTTTTTTTAACTGAAAGACCGCGTTTTCCCTTAAAACAATTCGTGTCCACAATACATTGTGGACACGAGTCCACAGCATAATTTGCCAATATAATTTGCCGTTTTAATCCGTAGTGGCCTAGTGGGCTTTAAAATTCTACATTCATGTAATATACTGACTTTTATCTCTCATATCCTCTATCATTTTCACCTCATCCAAAAAGAAAAAGAAAAGAAAAACTCACAATAAACCTGTATTAAGGATGCTCTAATATAAATTAGAGTTCACAATACACATGATGAACCATGATTTACAATATAATTTATTACAGTTTTCAGTCTATTGGGGTGACGCTAACCAAATCTTGACAAAAGCCAGAACAGGACCCATTACATTTTCTTTCTTGCAGGCCCATAATCTCATGAGGCCCACAATATTGGTGATCAATCGTATATCCTACACCACGGCGCACATAGCACTGTGCGCCGCGCGCCTCCCAAAACGACGTCGTTTTGGGGTAGTGTTGGGAGGCGCAATAGGAAGTTGCTGAGATTATGTGTATTTATTCACAACGTTATGTGTATTTGTTCACAACGTTATGTGTATTTTTTATACAATTATGTACATTCTTTGTATACAATTATGTACATTCGAATCAGAAAATTTGTGTGTATTATGTTAAGAGTTGATGTGTATTATATTAAAAGTTTATGTTTATTATGTATTATGTTAGATTATGTGTATTATCTTTTAAAAAGAGTATGTATATTTTGTTATATAATTATGTACATTCATGTATAACATTATGTGTATTCTAGTATAAAATTATGTACATTCTTGAACAGCGGGGTTTTTTTTTAAAGAAAAAACTACTGTCATTCACTGGGGCGGGAAATTTCAAAAAAAAAATAATTAAAACGACGTCGTTTTGCATCTGGGCGCATGGTGCAACGCGCGCCGTGGTGTAGGATATAAATTGCCATTGGTGATTCTGTTATATTATTTGTCATTTTGGGCCTTGTTGAGAAAATGAGAGGGAAGGGAGAGACAACATAGTAGAGTTCGGCAAATTATTATATGGACCACGGTTCAAAATGACGTCATTGAATTTTATGTGTTAGAATAATGAAATTTTCAGGGTAAGATAATATATATTATGTTTTAGAATAATATACATTATGAGTTATAAAAATATATGTTATAGTGAGTCGCTTGAAAAACAAAATTTATACAAAATGATGTCATTTTTAGACAGTGGTCCACACAGCTGTGTGAATCATGGTCCACACGGCTGTGTGAACCATGGTCCACGCAATAACTATTGGTAGAGTTGAACAAGTTCATCATTTAAATGGATAATTTAACTTATCACAGAGATAAAATTTATCACAAAAAAATAAAGATTAAATCTCACCAACAATAATTTTTTTAGGGGATCATGCTATGCCTCATTGCCCCTTACTTTTTTTTTTTTTTTTCTTTTTTGAAAGGAAAAGGAATTTTTCATTACTCATAACAATCTAACTACAAAGCACTCACAATGAAAACAGAGGGAGAATCTAACCCTCCATACAACCGGGTAAAGAAACGACTTTCTTAGCTAAGGCATGGGCAACCTAATCCTCCGACCACTTAACAAATGAAAAGGTGACTAGTAAAAAGTCCTTCACAATACCCCTTACTTCTATTATTCACAATCGATCATTTTATGATGTGACAAAATTTACTAATAAGCACTACCCCAAAGGTATTAGTCCAATGGATAAGAAGTTTCAATTAAGACATGATTTTAGTGATATGTTGGGGTTCAATTTCTGTGACAAACATTAGAGTGTGGGTTCGATTTCTACCCCAAACATTAGAGATTTGAGTTTGGATTGAATTTCTTGTGTACAAAAATGTGCAATTTGGTGTTTTGTTTTAAAGTTAGATTGTCTCAATTTACCTCATCATGAGTTTAGGAGTGGGCTCATAAGATTCAAGATAAAATAAAACTTGAGTCAATATTGTGGTGAAATTTGAAATCATGGGTTATCAAAAATAAATAAAATTATTAGGCACTAGTAAATTAAATGAAAAAAAGAGAGAAAGAATTATGAAGTGGTTGGGTTGTGAATAATAAAAGTATGAGTGCTTGGAGGTATGTGTATCATTACTCTTTCTTTATATAAAAAAATTATTTTATTCCCTTCTAGAAAATTTTCTTCTTGACATGACTCATAAATCATAACTATTGGGTGTAATTAGTTAATTCCACTACCTTCTTATCAAGATTAAATCATCTAATAAAAAAAGAAAAAGATTAAGAAGATAAAATGTGAAAGGGGTGAGTAGCATCACCCTTTCCTTATTTATCATTAAATATTTGTTCCGGTTTTCCACCATGAATTCTTGGAATGGCTTTGCCACTCGGAATTGCTTTTTGGGCATGTCATCATCAACGAGATCTCATTGCCACCACTTTTAATCCCATTTTTAAAGTTCAACTGCGTTACACTGTTATTATTGCTCTCACACCTAATGAGCAAAACAAGGACAAAATGTATAATATTAATAAAAATCATTAAATACAATTATTATTATTATTATTATGTGTAAGTGATTGTATGTTTATTTTTTTTGTTGGTACAGATCAAATCTTGATGCATTAACCTAAAAACTCTTGGAAGAGTTACTTAGAGTGAGCATTGTTGAGATTTAATTGGCTGGAATAGTTCATTGTCAAAATGTAGATATCAATGTAATATGTAAAAATTTAAAAACAAATTGCTATTCAAGAACACAATGTGTTCGATTTCCTATATTTTGCTTGCGCAAACAGTTCAATTAGTTTTTTTTTTTTTTTTTTTTTTTTTTTTTTTTTTTTTGTGGTAAATTGTAACATAAGAGTCACAGTGTGAGAGTCAATTTGGCCAGCTCGCATAGAACAAGGGAATTAGGGAATTTGCTGGGGAAAGCAGTGCCTGGGGAAGGCAGGAAGAAAATAATGAATTTAATTTAGATGTTCTAACTCTTGGGATAAACATCTCTACTGCTCTACGCATCTACACTAGAAATCTTCTACGAAAAAGAAAAAAAGAAAGATGAAATCATAGCAAAGCTTGAATGCTTGCTTTCTTAAGCATCCCACAGAGAGGGCATGAATCCAGGAAAGGGTCACAAGCTTGGCACGAAGAAAGGTGTCTGCATGGCAAGAACACAACGCACGACACCCCAGAATTGCAGCTTTTGCAGGCCATATCCCCCCGTTTACTGTTCTCCCCGTTGCCGCCGCCGCTTCCTCCGTCGCGGAAAAGTGGCGCCGCCGCCGCCGGCGCATTATCATCACCTCCGTTCTCGCAGCACGACTCGGCGTCCTCCGCGCCGCCGGTCCAGGGCTGCAGCCACGCGCTTTCTTTGAGTTGCTCGATTGTGTTGTTGAGAGACATGGCCATGGCTTCCTTCTCCTTCGCCATGCTCTGCCACGCCTGCTTCTCCATTTCGATCCTTCTCAACATGTCTTCTAACTCCATCGTCTTGTTCAACGCCTTAGACATTTCTTCCTCCTTTTGTTTCAGCAAAAATTGCTTCTTTGATTCGTATTTTCTCAGCATCAATGCCAGTTGCTGTTTTCTCTGCTCTTGTAAACCCAATCTCAATCTCTCATTCTGTCTCAAAACAAACACATAAACCCAATATCAGACTTAACCCCGAAAATCCCAGAAATTAAATCAACAATCTGGATTACGCCATACCTGTAAAGAGATAAAGCGATCAATTTCAAGAATTTGTTTCTCAAGCTCAGCCGCGAGATTCTGAGAGAAACCCATCGACGGCGGCTGAGGATTCTTGGCTGCCACAAAATCGTTATAGTTCTTCTGCTGCTGCGGAGGAATATTCTGATGAAACTGCGGCATGACGAACTGTTGCTGCGGCGGAAGAGGAGGCGGTGGTGGGTTGAAGCAAAAGTGATGATCAAAACCAACCACCCCGTCGACGGCGGCGGCGGCGGAAGCAGGGGCGTCACCGTCCATAAAATCCGGCGGAATAGCGAGAGGAAACCCAAGATTTTGCGAGTAAATCTGCGCTTGAATGGCCATGAATATAATACCCAAGTTTTAACTTCCCCCCAGCCTAGTATTTGTAACCACCAAATTAAAATCAGAAACGCCAAGAACCAACTAGGCAGTACGTCTTTGGAGCAGGAAATCAGGGAAAAAAGAAAGCAACAAAACAAAGTGTGAGTTGGGTTTGGTTCAAAACAGGAACTTCACCTCCTTGATTCGTTCTTGAACGAGAAGAGTGTTGTCTGCGTACGTATATATCTATATCTATCTATCTATCCAGATATATATATATATATAATGTTATTATTATTATATAGTTGTTGGCAAAACCTATGCGTTTGTTGTGATACGAGGTGTGGGTTTGGTGTAGGTTAGGAGGGGAAAGGCAAAGGTATATATGCATGGCCTCATGTACCAAATAACATATGTATGGTACTATGAGGCGTATGGATTAAACAAGGAATGGTGGGTGGCCCGCAATTAAGAATTTTCTTGAAATTAATTAAAAAAAGTAACTGAAAGGTTGAAATAAAAGGAGGAATATAATCTGGTGAGCGTGAAGGAAAGGACGTAAACATGCAGATTTTATGACTAAACTATCGGGTCAGAGACATTGAATTGGGTGGTGTTTACATACTACGTGGTTGAATCGAATTCAATGAAACCAAACCTATTCAATTCCGATGATCCATTTCCCATTTTTCCAGCCTCCAAACGCTATCTAATCTGTGTGAATCGGTCAGTTTTTTTGGGTTCCTTATTCAATTCCATTTTTCCAGTGGGTCAAACGCCGTGGGAATTGGTCAGTTTTTATCTTAATCAATCACACCATTAATCCTTCAGTTTCTTTTCTTTATTTATTATTTTTACCTAATAATAATAACTCCCTTCCTGTTCCTGTTCCTATTCCTAAGACTCCTAACCCACGTTTATCACCGTGCCCTTTTACGGTTTTACCGCCCGGTGAACCAACTGTTACACAACCAAACAACGCCAACAAATTCTAAACACATGGGGTCATATAATATTGTTTTTCACAACAACTTCTAATCTAGAATACTTCAAAATACATTGTTCCAATTTTTGTCTCCGCCCAAACCCGTTACCAGATTTTTATTAATTTTTTTTGCTTCTATTTTTTCGTGACAAGAAAAACCCTCGATTATTATTTAAAAATGGATAAACCTTACTACTATATAATAATTTTTTTTCCCCTAACCACTACATGAGAAGAGGCCCTTAACCCTACCCAGAAGCAGATTTGGTTACAACGATCCGATTTTGATTTTGAATCAGAGTCAATCTTAAAAGATAACACTCATAACAGTTTAGTTCTATCAGATGGGTAAGATTTAGAATTTGGTTAGGATTTAGATAAATGTTATCACATGATATCCAAATCAAGTTTACATTCAAATATACCATAAATTAAAATATCAAAATAAAAAACTAATCAGATTCCTCCACAGTTTATAACTCATCGCAATAGTTGGAAAGAAAATACTACATGTACTCTCACTTTTTACTCTCAATTTCTACCTTCTCACACAAATCCTTGATGTAGACACTTTTCTGGGATTTACATGATGAAAATATCATATTCTTGTTTGTCAAATCATGAAGTAGAAGTGAAGAAATATAGTTTAGAAATACATGAATAGAACTTAGTTGGAAATCCATTATAGTACGTTGAATTATTGTTGCAAAGTCCCAAAAAGAGTTACCAGTGCACAATTAATTACTGGTACGTACATTAATAATTAGTGAACGCAATAATATGTTTGTCCACTCAGTCGTTGTCAGATAAATCGCATAGTTTCATCGTAGATATCACGATAGTTTAAGATAGTTGTCAGTCAAACGTGACATTGGTGCTCTCTATTATAGAAAATATTAAATAATTAATTAATTATTTAAAATTACATACAGAATTGCCAAAAAGATAGATACTGCCCGTCCACTTAAAGACAATGGGATTATATGTCAGTTGGGCGGTAGTGCAACTTTCTAAACCATCCATCATTATTGATATCATCAGTCCCCAGCTGGTATAATCCAACTCCGATCCTGCTTTTCTTTTGTTAGTATATGTGTAGGAACCCCCCACCCGTTATTTATTTATTTATTGCTTTCTCTTTGATATGAAACCATTCATGTGTTGATGTTGACTGGTTTTTTGGATTATAAAGAAAATGGTCCAGTGTTTAATTTGAATTTTTAAATTAACGTTGGATATGAAAAATATGATGAATCTCATTCTGTAATATGTATTGATTTGATTAATATTTGCATATAACACTCACTTTAATGCTTTGGAATTGATTGTTTTTGAGTTACAAGAAAGCGCACTTTCCGAATGTATGCTCTGTGTGAAGTCTGGCTTGTGATCTTTGTTGGTAAAGAATAATAACGAAGTAAATTACTTTAGTTTGTCTATAATTGTTGGTCTCAAATTAAGAATAATAGGCAATTCTTACATAGAGTTGAACTTGAAATTTTATGATTATCCTGTTAATTGTCACATTAACTTGATGGGTTGTTGCATTGCCGCATTGGTATTCATTCTTTCAAAAGGTTGAACTACCCCAACCTTAAGGAGACCCCCACATCCCGGTCTGACCAAGCATTTGGGAGGATATAAATTATGGTAACTCAACTGAACATGAACCACAGAGGCTAAACTTTTTTTACTGCGCACAAGGAGCTCTGATCCCCTCACTTTGAGAGGCCGCATTGGAATTCATCATTGTTGTTTAATTTGTGCTACTTCTATTGTCTTTGAATGAACGTTTTAACTACCATCTTTGCCACTCTATATTTCTATCATACTAAATAAATTTTAAAATTAATAGTGTAAATTAAAACTCAAATTTCATAATACAAATAGTTAAATCATTTATTTGTCAAAGATATCTACAAATCTACAAACTTAATATACAAGTAAATAAAGTTAGGCCCTAACAAAACTAAAAAATGTTGTTGTGTAATTGTTTGTTGATTTAAGTATTTTTATTATTATTATTTTTCATATTTTACTTTCAATTATATCATTTATTTTTCCTAAATACCCTTGTATTCCATCAGAGTAAACTTTAGTAACGGAATATTCCGTTAACTATTTATTATTCTTAACACACTCATTGATTTTCATAAGGAAGGTCTTAGGTTCGAACCTCATCCCAATCAAAATTGACATAATTGTTAAACATATACTATGAATATGTGAGAGTGTATTAAAAAAATACAATATAAAATTTAACATAAACTTTGGTCAATTAATTAGAATCACGCATTGGCATTAATGAAACGGTACACTTAATTTACAATATATGTTCAACAGAGATGAGAAACTATGTTTATTATCATTGTATTTTTGGAGAAGAAGGATTTGGTTTTGTTTTTGAAGGTGTATTGCGCCAAGGCACTAAAATTGCAGTGAAACACACCAGGGGATTAGATCAAATCAATAATTCATTTCTGGATCACGCTAATTAATAGGATTTTGTGTTGCAAAAACTATGTTTATGGTACTATCCAGTGAGGGTACTTTCCTCTAAAATTGTTATTGCACCTGTTAATTCAACATTTCTAATCATATTTATGTATTCTTAAAATATTTACTTTTATGAAAGATTTGATAATTTTGTATTGGTATACGTCAGGATACCAAATGATACTTTGATAAACTCTGTAACACTAATTTAAAAATACACATTGAGCATCAGACTATCCGTACAATGCGCGTGTAGTATAACTAGTAAATTAATAAATGTTTTGAACGTTTTAAATGCATATATATGCCGTTAGTAAAAACATATGATGTTTGGTTACTTTCTATTTCTTTGTAGTGAATTATATATTGCAAGTAGTCAGAAGTGCTAAAAAAAAAATATTGCAAGTATTGTATGCGTATAAAATGTATTAACAAATTATACAAATAATTTACTAAAAATTATAAAAGCACACTTAAGAAATTACCAAATCATCCATGAATAGTTAATTAAGGAAATGTAACCATAAAATATGAGAAAAATCGTGGCCACTAGATGACCCAAGATGGACAACCCATATTAGTCCCACCGTTTTTGCATGGGGTCTTGTTTTCATATGATCTGAATACACACACAAACACACGTGTACACACACATATACATGTGTGTGTTAGATTATCATATGAGAACAAGTTCTTAAGAGAAACTAAGAATCAATCTCAAGGATTAGGTAGAATCGGGCTTCAGTTGAAGCTTTTACATTTAAAAAATCGGATAAATCATATCAGATTTTTAAAAAATGCGGTGATATTTTCGTATATAAGGGGTCAAGTGAGAACATGCTCTCAAGTAAAAAGTGAGGACTAATATGATCCATCCATTTGGGTGGATTAATTGTTGAGGGTTGTTGAAAAATAAGGGAAAAAGGTACGGTGTCGATTTTATAAATATTGAAAACTTAAAATTTAGAATAATTATATAAAATTAATCATGCGTTTTATTTTCTAAAACCTTGAACCATTGATGAGCTCTGATAGATGGTTGTGAATTGTGATCATGAATCACTTTTTACAGGAGGAACATGTTCTCATTTGAACAAGGTACAATAATATTACAAATATAATATTGACTAACAATCCTCATGTATGTTGGGTAGTAATTCACGTTTCTCTCAAACTCTATATATATCTCTAACATACTATAAATTGTTGTGGTAATTCTGATAAGTTATGGAATTAATTGATTAAATTTGTGAGTTTTGGAAGTTATGAATTGAATTTTAAATTCAATGTTGAGGCCATTAGTACTGATGGAATAATATAATATGCCTGCCATATTATTATTATTATTATTATTATTATTATTATTATTATTATTATTATTATTATTATGTATAATAATAATGATATTAATTAGTCAAAGAGAAGAGGTCATCATGGCAAGAAAATAGGGAAGGCTACGAGAAGTTACAACTGATGACATTATATAAAGATTCTGGGATGCAGACAAAAGGGGGAGAAATCTCAGAGATAAAACATTTTC